AAGGGAGCAGGGCAGTCTGCCAGGCTCACAGGGGTGTCCTCTGGGTGAGGCCTGGGCTCCCCTAAGCCCCAGGTGGTCTTGGCCTTATAGCAAGACTCTTACTGTTAACCCCAGAAAGGTCAGGACAAGATGGGTGGTTGATAATGAGGTGAGCTGGGGTGCTGCCCAGAGTGGGGGGGCAGGGATTGGGGAGGAGATAGGTTTGGCAGAGGAAGGGAGGGGGAGGGAGGACTCTCCTGGAAACAGAGCTGAGCACTGCATAAGGGCCCCGCAGCAAGGGGCTGCAACCCAAAGCCCAGTGCCAGCTGGACCCAAGGTCTGTCCTCGCCTGCACAGCAGGCAATAGAATCCAGATGGTCCGAGTGTCTTGTCCGATGTTCTGGATCCCTGGGGAAGCGCTGGAACAGAAGCAGACCCCCAGAGCAGCTTACAGCCCAAGGAATGAGACTGTTCTCACGCGTCTGGGACTGGAGGGAGACTGTGGACCAGACTCGTCACACACACACCATCACCACCATCTCCACCATCATCTCCACCATCACCACCATCACCTCCACCACCATCTCCATCATCATCACCACTATCACCACCATCACCTCCACCATCACCACCATCATCTCCACCATCATCACCACCATCATCTCCACCATCATCTCCACAATCACCACCATCATCTCCACCATCACCACCACCATCTCCACCATCACCTCCACCATCACCACCATCACCTCCACCATCACCACCACCATCTCCACCATCATCACTACATCACCACCATCATCTCCACCATCACCACCATCATCTCCACCATCATTTCCACCATCTCCACCAACATCTCCACCATCATCTCCACCATCACCACCATCATCTCCACCATCATCTCCACCATCATCTCCACCATCACCACCACCATCTCCACCATCACCACCATCATCACCATCACCTCCACCATCACCACCATCACCTCCACCATCACCACCATCACCTCCACCATCATCACCACATCACCACCATCATCTCCACCATCACCACCACCATCTTCACCATCTCCACCATCACCTCCACCATCACTACCATCACCTCCACCATCATCACCACATCACCACCATCATCTCCACCATCACCACAATCATCTCCACCATCACCTCCACCATCACCACCATCATCTCCACCATCATCACCACCATCATCACCACCACCATCTCCACCATCATCACCACATCACCACCATCATCTGCACCATCACCACCATCATCTCCACCATCATTTCCACCATCTCCACCATCATCTCCACCATCACCACCATCATCTCCACCATCATCTCCACCATCATCTCCACCATCACCACCATCATCTCCACCATCATCTCCACCATCATCACCATCATCACCAACATCACCTCCGCCACCATCTCCACCATCATCTCCACCATCTCCACCATCACCTCCACCATCACCACCATCACCTCCACCATCATCACCACATCACCACCATCATCTCCACCATCACCACCATCATCTCCACCATCATCTCCACCATCACCACCATCATCTCCATCATCATCTCCACCATCACCACCATCACCTCCACCATCACCACCATCACCTCCACCATCATCACCATCACCTCCACCATCCCCACCATCACCTCCACCATCACCACCATCATCACCACCATCATCACCACCATCATCACCATCACCACCATCATCACCACCATCACCTCCACCATCACCACCACCATCACCACCACCATCTCCACCATCACCACCATCATCTCCACCATCATCTCCACCATCATCTCCACCATCATCTCCACCATCACCACCATCATCTCCATCATCTCCACCATCACCACCATCATCTCCACTATCATCACCATCACCTCCACCATCACCACCATCATCTCCACCATCACCACCACCATCACCACCATCATGTCCACCATCACCACCATTACCTCCACCATCACCACCACCATCACCACCATCATCTCCACCATCATCACCATCATCACCATCATCTCCACCATCACCTCCACCATCATCACCACATCACCACCATCACCTCCACCATCATCTCCACCATCATCTCCACCATCACCATCATCTCCACCATCATTACCATCATCACCACCATCACCACCATCATCTCCACCATCACCACCTTCATTTCCACCATCTCCACCATCACCTCCACCATCATCTCCATCATCATCTCTACCATCATCTCCACCATCACCACCATCATCTCCACCATCATCACCATCATCTCCACCATCATCTCCACTATCACTTCCATCATCACCACCACCATCTCCATCATCTCCACCACCATCATCACCACCATCTCCGCCACCATCATCTCCACCATCACCACCATCATCTCCACCATCATCTCCACCATCACCACCATCACCACCATCATCTCCACCATCACCACCATCATCTCCACCATCACCACCATCCCTACCTCCACCATCACCTCCACCAGCATCACCTCCACCAGCACCTCCACCACCAGACCCAGACAGCACGGAAGGGCTCCCCCAGGCCAAGGTGGCTTTTTCATTTGTGAGACTAAATGTGGGAAGAAGAGATGAGGCGGAAACCAGCCCATGACCCTGCCTCAGCTCCTGTGTGAGTGGGGGCCAGACACAGGGCCTACCTTGGCACCCCCAAAAGCCAAAGAATCAGGGTTTGAGAGTTTATGCAAAAATATTAGAACTTCACCCTGCCCTGGAGGGTGAAGATTAGCCAAATAGGAGTCTTCTCTCCCTAACCTCCCCCCCCCCAAGGGAGGCAAGCTGAAGACATAATTTGGCAGCTCAGAGGTGCCCTGCATAAGGCGGGGCAGGCAAGTGGGCACCCACCCCCCAGAGGTCTGCCTGGGTGAGAAGTCCCTCACCCCTGAAAGAGCTCTACCCAGACCCGTGAGGGGCAGTCGAGGGGCAGCGTGGGGGCGCTGGGAGCAGCAAGGGGCCTCCGTCTAGGCAGGAGGTACTGGGCTGTGCATCCCCCAACCCCCTGCCCCAGGCAGCTGAGAAATCTCTGGCTGGAGAAGAAAAAGGAGCTCCCTTCATGCCCCACTCTGGGGCCTGGCCACGGGTACAGCAGGGCGCAGGGCGCCCTCGGGGCAAAGGGTCCCCCCAGAGGGATGCGAAAAGCGGAGGGCAGGACCTCGCCCATGGCCCGGAGTCTACCCAGGCGCACGCTGGGGCCCTGGGTTCCCGGGTGGGTCTGCGAAACCCGCGCTCGCCCCTCGGGACTTGTGCCTCGCCACCGCCGCCAAGAGCGAGCGATCCGAGCTCACCCTCTCGGGCCCCGAAAGCTGCCCCCTCCGCCCGCCGCGGGCGCCGGCCCCGTCCCGGGAAGGCGTTCGGCCGCTGGTCCCGGCGGGCGGCGCGCGGGGAGCAGGCGGCGGTGGCGCCGGCCTCAGACTCAGCCACGGCCGCCCCGGACGAGTCCCCGCGAGCGCGAGCGCGGCCCGGGCGGCAGGACTCCCCAGACAGGCAACAAGTCGCTCCCCACCGGGCCCCGGCCCGGGGGCGGGGACGGGCAGGGCGGAGCGGGACTTGGTCCGGATTTGGGGGACCCCAGGTCAGAGCGCTTCCCGCCCGCTGCCCCGGAGCCCGGAGTCGCCGGCCCCGCGTCGCGCGCAGCGAGGAAGCAGAAGGTCCCAGGCCCGCGGCAAGAGCGACCCGGGTTCCCGGAGTTGGGGGAGTTGCCCCGCACCCCTAAACGCCTCGGCACGCGCTCCCGGGTGAAAGTACGCACTTTACGCGTCCGGGCGCCTCGGCGGTGAGTCGGCCGCAAGGCTCGGGGCGGGCGAAGGTGGCTCAGCGCGGGCGCTCCAGTCTCGACGTTCCCGGGGCAGAGAGCAACGTCCGGGGACTCGCGGGACGGGTGCGCCCGGTGGCCGGGGCCGCGCCGGGCGAGGCAAACAGAGAGAGGGGAGCGCTCCGGCGTTCAGGCAACAGCTACCCCTAGTGGGAGAGCCGCCCGGGGCCGCCGCCGCCCCGCGCCCGCCGCCCCGCGCCCCGCGCCCGCCGCCCCGGGCGCTCCGGCCTCGGCCGGGGCGCAGGGACGGCGTTGCCCTGCCCGGCCCTCCCCGTCTCCGCCGCCTGGCGCTTGCCGGCCCGCGGGCCCTGCCCCTCGCGCCTCCCCGCCGGGCCCCGGAGGCCGCTGACCCGCGCGCGGCGGCGCCCCGCAGGGACGAGATGGGACGGGGCGGGCGCGGCCGGGGCGGCGCGGGCAGGGGCTGCGCGCCCCGGCCTCGGGCAGCGGCGGGGGGCGCCGAGCGCGGTGTGCGTGGCGGGGCGGTGCGGGGGGCGGCCGTGTGCGAGGCGCGAGTGTGAGCGCGCGCGGGAGGCGAGCGGGCGGGCGAGCGGGCTCCGGGAGGCGAGCGGCGCCCGCGGGCGAACGCGAAAGGCGGCGGGGACCGAAAGTTGCCTCCTCGCGGGCCCGCGTCCCCGGCGGGGCGGGAGCCGGGGCCACCGGAGCGGCGGCCGCGGACCCGGGCTCCCGCGGCACCTGGGCAGCGCCCCGCACGAGCAGCAGCGGCGTGGGCGGCGTTGGCGGCGGCGCGCGGGAAGCGAACCGGAGCTCTGGCGCGGCGCGGCGGCCGCCGGGGAGCTTCGCTCAGGTGCGCGGTGAGAGGGGCGCGGGCCGGGCCGGGCCGGGCGGCCGGGACCAGGGCCGCGCGCGGCGCTCGCGCTTGCCGGGGCAGCTCCACCGCGGACGCCCGGCTCCCGGGTCCGGCTCCGGGTCCCGGGCGACGACCCGGCCGGGGTCCCCACCCCCGGGAGCGGGCCTCGGGGCCCGGCCCCGCCCTCGCCGGCCCCTGGCCGGGCCGCCCCGCCCTCCGGCCGCCCGCGCCCGCCCTCGGCCCACTATTTCTGGGGCATTGGCCGCCCCGCTGGGTGATCCCTCCGGGCTCAAGTTGCAAGGGGGCGGGCCCCGGGCCGGAGGTGGAGTCTCCCTCCAATTGAAGCGTCGGCTATAAATCGAGCTCCCCGCACAGCCGAAGCCCAGATGCCTCGCCAGGCTGCCCCGAGCTTAGTGGTGGGGGAAGGCGGCGGGCCCCAGGGGGCCTCGGGGACGGCGGTCACCATGCTCCGCTCCCTGCTGCTGCACTCCCTGCGGCTGTGCGCCCAGACCGCCTCGTGCCTCGTGCTCTTCCCGCGCTTCCTCGGCACGGCCTTCATGCTCTGGCTCCTCGACTTCCTGTGCATCCGCAAGCACTTCCTGGGCCGCGGCCGCCGGGGTCAGCCCGAGCCTGAAATGGAACTCAACAGCGATGGCGAGGAGGTGCCCCCCGACGACCCGCCCATCTGCGTGTCCGACGACAACCGCCTGTGCACCCTGGCGTCGCTGAAGGCGGTGTGGCACGGCCAGAAGCTGGATTTCTTCAAGCAGGCGCACGAGGGCGGCCCGGCGCCCAACTCTGAGGTGGTCCTGCCCGAAGGCTTCCAGAACCAGCACATCCTCGACTTCGCGCGAGGGAACCGCCCGCTGGTGCTCAATTTTGGCAGCTGCACCTGACCACCATTCATGGCGCGCATGAGCGCCTTCCAGCGCCTGGTCACCAAGTACCAGCGCGACGTCGACTTCCTCATCATCTACATCGAGGAAGCACACCCCTCTGACGGCTGGGTGACCACAGACTCCCCCTACAGCATCCCACAGCACCAGAGCCTGGAGGACAGGGTCAGTGCGGCAAGGGTGCTGCAGCAGGGGGCACCCAGCTGTGCGCTGGTGCTCGACACCATGGCCAACTCCAGCAGCTCAGCCTATGGCGCCTACTTCGAGCGCCTCTACGTCATCCAGAGTGGCACCATTATGTACCAGGGTGGCCGCGGCCCAGATGGCTACCAGGTCTCGGAGCTGCGCACCTGGCTGGAGCATTATAATGAGCAACTGCACGGCCCTCAGCCCCGTGGGGTGTAAAACAACCAAGGACACTGGTTGGACTCGGTGGGCTGTGCCCTGGAACACTGGAAGGCCACGTGTGGATGCCCCACGTGGAGTCAGGCTGGGCAGGGCCCAGGGACACCGCTGTGCTGAGCAGCGCTGCAGGCTGAGGTGCCCTCAGCCGAGCCCGGGAAGACGCCTCTGCCTCCCTGGACTCTGATTCTGTGATTGTCCTGTGACCGTCCTCTTGTGACTGCCCACCACCTAGACTGGCCTGGCTCACTCGAAATTTCCTGAGTGTGGGTGTGGTGCCATTCTTGCCTGGGCACCGCTGGATCTGTCCTTGCCGAGGCCCGGGCCGCCGGCTCTCACACCCCCTCCCCAGAAAGGAGAGCCAGTGAGCCTTCCCCGGGCGGCGCAGTGCGCAGCGTCGGGCGGGCGCGGGGACCGGCGGCTGGCGCGCCCGGAGCGCAGCTGGGTTCCAGCAGTGCTTGCAGCTCGCCCTAGTTGCCTGGCACCCACACCTGTCGCAGGCAGAAAGGATGCCCTGCTGCTTTTGTGGCTGTTTCAAGTCCCTGGTTGGGGGAGGAGGCGTGAGGTGGGGAAGGGTGGGCAGGGCTGCTTTCCCTTGAGTTTGGGTGCTCAACAGCCTCCCTGCTGATGACGAGCCCTCTCTAACTGGTCCTGACCACGAGCCGGTTCCGAGTTGCAGGGGCTCGCAGCAGCGCCTAAACCGAAGGGGGGTGTGCTCTGGGTTTCCGTGGGGAGCCCACCTGAGAGGGGTGGTAAAGGGAGGTGGAGGGACTGTTTGGGGACCAGAGGAAGCTGTGGCGGGGTACTGGCCAGGTGAGCAGCTTCCCAGGGAGAGCGAAAAGATGGGGACTCCTGCCATGAGAGTAGTCGGGGAGCAGAGTCTGAGGAAAGAGAGATGGGGGGGGCCTGGGCACCCCAAGTGAAGGGCTCCCTAGGCAGAGCTGGGGGGTGCGGGGCCAGGAGGTGAGTGCCCCTGCTTCTAAGGCCATTTGGTGAGTGTTTTGGAAACGTTCCCTGTATATGAACTTCTTTTACACACGGTAATAAAGCTTGACGAAACGGCTCTCCGGGCTGCCTCTGGTCCCTTCATTGCTTTTCTCCCCTCTGAATAGCGGCAGAACTAAGCACACGTCTCCCTCCGTCCCCATAGTGACCCTGAGGGCAGGAAGCCAAGCCTGGCAGGGGCGCCTCAGAGGAAAAGGGTCTGCGGCGGCGACCAGGGCGCGTGGGCGCGCGCGCTGCGCTCCTGGGCGGCGAGTCCCGGCCGCAGACGCGCGCGGAGAAGCGCACCCGGGCGGGGTCCCGGGGAGATGGGAGCGGCGGGGTCCTCGCTCCCTGCCCCGCGGGCGCCGCAACCGCGGGTCTAACTTCACCCCGCGACGCCGGTGCCGGGAGAGCGGCCGGTGGGGGCCCCGGGGCGCCGCGTCCAGTGGGGCTGGGCTTCCCCCCGCCGCAGGCGCCGGGGCACACCTGGCTCTTCCCTAGCCCCCCTAGTGCTCGTGGCTCCCCCAGGTCCCCTTTCTGGGCCCGCAAAACAGTCTCCCCACCCCACCCCCAACCCCAACTGGTTGCTGGGTCCGCGGGTGGCGGGACTAGCGCACGACGGCGGGAGGGGGTGCGGGGCTGGGGGGAGCTGGGCGCGCACGCTGTCTCTCTAGCGGCAGCTTCTACTGAGGGGTGCGGTTGGCACGGAGTGCGCCCCCCGCCCGGGACACCCACTCCTCCGCATCCCCAAGTTCGAGTCAAATCTCACCGCCCCCAAAGCGTTTGGGGCTGAGAAGCGGAGAGGGGCGCGAGGTGGGGGTGCGGGGAGCGCCCCGAGGGGCGGGGGGTGGCCGCAGCGCGGAGGGGGGCGGCGGGGGGTCGCGGCCGCTGGCCCGCGGGCAGTCTCCAGGCGCTCGCTCCCGCGCAGCCCCGCGCCCTCCCTCTGCGCCCGGCCCCCCGGCGCGGGCGATGCGGAGGGCGGGGCCCCCACCTCCCTCTGCTGGAGCCGGGGGCGGGAGGGGGCCCCGGCAAAGACGGGAGGCGCGGGTGGGGCGTGGAGGGGCGCAGGCGGCCGAACTTCCCGGGTGCGCCGCCCTCGGGGAGGCGCCGGAGCGCGAGCGGGCGGGAGGGGCCGGGCGTAGGTGAGCGCGCCCGGGGGAGCGCGCGAGCCGGGCGGGGAGGGGTGCTCAGGCGCGTGGGAGAGGGGCCCCCGCTCCACCCCCGGCGCCACGCTCAGCCCCCACGCTGCTCCGCGGGGAAAACTTTTTGGAACTGACACCCTGAGCTCGGAATTTTTTTTTTTTTTTTTTTTGCTTTAAAAGAAGTTAAATTGAAAGATAACTTTTGAGAAAAATTTGGCACAGCTGGTATTTCTGCCTCTTCTCCCCTCCCCCTCCTCCGCGCTCCGCTTCTCACCCCGAAAACCCCGGGAAGAGCAGCGAGCGGCCGGGGCGCGGCGGGCCGGGGCGGGCGCCGGCGGGGCCGGGGCGTGGCGGCGCGAGGGGGCCGGGGAGGGGCGCGGCCGGGCCGAGGAGCCGCCGCGCGGGGCTCTGGAGGGACGCGCAGAGCGACCTCGGCTCCCCGCGGAGCCCCCCCCCCCCCCCACCCCCTCCCCCACCCCCACCCGAGCTCGGGGCCGCGCGGCCCGCGGACCTGCAGCTCCACCGCCCCCCGCCCGCGCCCGCAGCCCGCGAGCTCCGCACTCCACCCCTGGGAGTTGCTTCCCTTTCTCCGCCCCCCCCCCCCCCCCCGCGCCCCTTGCTTCCCCTCATCATCAGTCTCTCCCTTCCTCTTCCATTTTCCTGGTTCTTCCCTTTCCTCTCTTTCCTTGTCAGCTCGCCCCCCTACAGCAGGTCTCCCCGAACTGCAAAGTCCGGGGAACTTAGCCGACCCCAGGTAACCTTTCGGTTTGTGCGCTTTGCGCGGCCTCTCGGTTTCCCGCGCGCCTGGAAACCTGTTTATTTCTCTAAACAAAGCGGGACGAGCCTTCGTGGCGGGATGAGAAGTCCGGCTCCAAGGCCCCCTTCCTTCCATGCACCCCTCTTTCCACACCAGCGCGGAAGTGGGAGGTGGCGCAGCCCCGCCCGGCCGTGGGGTCCCAGGGGTCCAGGGCACGCAGGGTGCGAGGGCGCCCACTCTCCGCAAGGAAGCTGGGGAGCGCCTGTGCCCACGGCTCTGCAGCCCCCAGCCCGGCGCGCGCGCGCACGTCTCTTGCAGCGGAACTAGTGGGTCAGAACCCCGCGCTTTGCTGCCTTTGCTGAACTGCCTTCCAGAAGTGTGTTTGATGTTAGCGCCGCTGCTTCCCAGTGCCCGCGGCCTTCTTGATCTTGAGGTGGGAAGCAGGACAGTGCACAGACCTATTCCCAACGTGAAAAGGTGGAGCAGCCAGTGCAGGTCTCCTGGGAGGGGGGCTTCCCTGCAGGCCCCTGCTGACCAGACCCCGGTGGACAGATGGGGGCAGGCATGTCAGAGGAGTGAGGCAGGACCTGCGGTGTCCAGGGACCAGGGGCCCCTAAGGCTTTTGTTTCCGGTGTGTGTGTGTGTGTGTGTGTGTGTGTGTGTGTGCGCGCGCGCGCCCGCGCCCGCGCAAGGTGGCTGATATGAAATGCGTTTCTCCTGGGGGAAGAATGTCTGGTGAGGTTGGAAAGCCACCCAGAGCTGCCACTTCCCCTCCCTGGACAGCCCCTACCTGACTTCCAGCTGCCCTGTGGGTTTGCAGAGTCCACTGGGGGCCTTCTCAGCTTTAGCCTCCAGGTCGGGCGGGTGCACAGTGTTCGCTGACCACCGGCTGACCCCACACATACTGCTCCCTGCCACGCTCTCTCCAGCCTGCTCTGCTAGTCTGAGCAGGTCTGCGCCCGCAGGCCAGTGCCCAGCACTAGAGGATGGGTGAGCCCCGCGTGCCCTGCGGGAGGAGCTCACCTCTGCCCTGGCGGATGCCTGAGAGCTTCTGTCCTACCTTCACCATCTGCCCGCGGGGGACTCAAGGGCCACTTAGTCTCATGGAGGGAGCGGGCAGAGGGGCCCGGGGAGAGTTCACAGTGCAGGACTCCCCCTGGGCTCGGTGCGGGGCTGCGGGAGCAGCAGGGAGAGAGCACTGGGACAAAGAAGGGCGACTCTGCACAGAAAGTAAGGAGCATTCGCGTGGCTGCTGGAGGAGCAGAGGCAAGGAGGAGGGAGCAGCAGAGGAGGGGGAGGAGGGGGCAGAGGAGGAAGGGAGGAAGGGGGGAGGAGGGGGAGGAGGAGCGGGAGAAGGGGAGAGGGGAGGAGGGGCGGAGGAGGAGGGGCAGAGAGGGTACAGGGCCAACTGAGCAACCTTGGAGAGCAGCCTGGAGCCTGCCCAGCCTCAGACAGCAGGCGGGGAAGCCGGAGGGGCTAGGAGGCCCCTGCACTGGGGGAGTGGGCCTGGCCTCCCTCCAGCACGGCTGCCCTCCCAGGCCCCTCCCGCCCAGGATGGTCTCCACCTTTGACCCGCACACCCTCTAGGCATTTGCCTGAAGGAAATAATCCAACACTTGGCCTTTGCAGGGGTAGGAGGTCTGCAGCGCAGGGCTGCTGGAGGGCCGGGGGTCACCAGCCCTGCTTACTGCTCACCGAGGAAGGAGGTAAGTCTCGGCCTGGCCTCTGAAGCTGGGCCCCGGGGCAGTGGGCTGAACTCTGTCCTCCTCCCAGACTCCCATGTTGAAGTCTCAACTCCTGGTACCTCACAGTGTGACCTTATTTGGAGAAAGGATTTCAAAGAGGTAGTTAAGTTGGGGTGAGGTCATGGGGGTGGGCCCCAGTCCAATCTTACTGCTATCCTCATCAGAAGAGATCAGGACACACACAGACCGGAGGTCACGTGAGGACACGGCCAGACGGCCATCAGCATGCCCAGGAGCAAGGCCTCTGCCAAGCAGCCCGAGACACCTGGCCCTCAGGCGGGTAGCCTCCAGAGCCTCCCGGACACCGTGTCAGGGGACCCCAGCCTTGGGTGCTTCTGAGGGCGCCCCCACAGACAAGTGCCATGCTGGGCCTGCAGGATTCCCTGACCCTCACACCAGCTGCCTGGCAGGGACACCCCAGTGGCCCCCTCGTGGGCTAAAAGCTGTCAGGGTCCACCAGGGCCCCCACGCAGATGCTGGCAGACCCCTGGGAAGTTGGTGAAGACCCAGCTCCCCGGATCGCGGGCCTGAACTGGGCAGCGCATACTCCTTTTAAAGTCTGCACAGACACACAGGCAGCTCTAGAAAAATCTACCCCGAGGATTTCACAGTAGCTGTCTCTGTGTGGGTGGGATTATGAGTGTTTTCTTACTTTCTTCTCGTTGCTTGTCTGTAGCCTGTGATTTTTCTGTAGTGAACGTGTATTGCTCTTATGACAGAAAAATTAAAAAACAGCAAAAACAGGGACCG